AAGGGGTTTTGTTTCACAATCCTCTCCAGGGTGCGGTTATCTCTCTTGCTTGTACACTTTTTTCGACCACATCTTTTCCTTCCCTTCGCCTCTCTATTAATGTGCTTGGACACTGAGCTCTGTGAACAGCCAGCCTCTTTAGCGATGACCTTTTGTGTCTTGCCCTCCTTGTGCAAGGTGTCGATGGTCGTCTTTTGGACAACTGTCAAGTCAGCAGTCTTCCCCATGATTGTGTAGCCTATAGAACTAGACTGAAAGACCATTTAAAGGCTTTTGCAGGTGGTTTGAGTTAATTAGCTGATTAGAGTGTGGCACCAGGGGCCATCAATTTTGAACCTTTTCACAATATTCTAATTTTCTGATATGATGAATTTGAGATTTTCATTTGTTGTCATTTGTAATCATCAAAATTAAACAAAATAAACATCTGAAATATATGAGTTTGTATGTAATGTATGAATATAATATACAAGTTTCACTTTTTAAATGGAATTACTGAAATCAATCTACTTTTTCATGATATTCTAATTTTATGACCAGCACCTGTATTTGACCCTTAGAATAACAATGAAACCTTTTAATGGCCACAAAACGTTTTTCCCAGAGTTTATAACAAAATGTAACATTTATAAGATATAAAATAACATTAATATCGTCAAACTGCTGCTCTTCAAGCTAAAATAAGCTCCAGTGCCTTTTCTGAGCTGTATTTTATTTATTTTTCAGCCTTAGGCTTTATAATTAAACAAAATCAGCTTCCAAACTTCAAACATATCGGACCGTTGTTATTATTCACTTTTTATTCTTTACACTCTTTACATTTATATTTTGACATACTGCTATATCGGTGTTAATTGTGCTTTGGTGTTTAATGTGTCCTAAAATAACCTCGGTGGTTGAATTGTGGAGAATCTTTGATGTCTAACATGTCATATTGGTAAAGATTTTAATGCTGTAATTTTTAGTTATTTTTGTTTTAAACGGTATAAAAGGGTCGCCGGCGACCCGGTGGGTTTGGAGAGGATAAAGGAACTGAGTCAAATGTTTGTGTCGAGGCTAAAAAGTGACCAAGTCCTCAGGTGAGACCTCTGCTATTAATTAAATTAACTCAGCTAATATGGCTGCATGGAGACATCACCTCATCATCATCATCACCATCATCATCACCATCCTCATCATCACCATCATCCTCATCATCATCATGGGTTTAATGGGCTGCCTCTTGTTCAAACAGACAGACCAGATCAATCATATAGAAACAAAAGGTTTAATTTCCTCCTCAAAGAAAAAAAAATTTGTTTCATTGTTTTATAAAAATATATGTTTCTGCATAATTTAAGCAAAATATTTAATAAAAAGATTTTTTTTTAATGGAAAATGTAAAAGTTCCTGAAATGTTAAAATGCTTTGTGTTGTTTCTAACCCTGAACGCTGAGATGAATGCATCCCAGCTATGGATACCTACTGCCCTCTAGTGGACCAAACAGGACCTACAGCAAAGTCTATAGTGTTTTACTGAATTATAACTATTTAAACTAGATCTATCCACATTAGATGTATGTTTATGTTCATGTTACCAACACATAGTGAAGCGTCCCTCAAACCAGAGTTTTTAAAGTTAATTTATAAAGCAGCTTTACCTCCATCAGACTTTTATTTTTAGTTTATAGATGATCTCTTTATCATTTTATCTTATCAGCTTTTATCTGTTAATATCTGGTTACCTAGCAATTGGTTAATAATATTATTTACTCTTAATAATTCATGTGCTTACAGGTGTTTCCTCTCCAATCTCTGGGCCCTTAAAACGAATAGATTTTCATCTCTTTAATTCATTATTCAATAATCGGTACAAATATTACTTTAAATGTTTGATCATTTTTTTGTTTGTTTATAATCTCTGTTGATTGATTGAAGCCGAGTTTCCAGTTTGGATGAACATCCAACATCTGCAGCTTCATGGTCCAAACTGATCATAAACCTGAATTCATCAGGAAGAACATTCCTGTGTTTGAAGCTGTTTCCATAGCAACACAAGCCGACTGCCTGGTGTTCAAAGTGAAAGTTTTCACAGCCTGTAAACTTCTTCCCATTTTAAATAGAGGCATGAGGTTTTCCATGCAGAAGTCTAGTCTCATTCATTCATTCATTCATTCATTCGTTTATGGTTCATTCATTCATTCATTCATTCATTCATTCATTCATTCATTCATGTTCAGATCACATCCTGATGCGAGCGTCTGAAGCAGCCTCCATCCTGCTGGTTAAACAGGTTTTATTCTGGAGACGCTGCTGAAGCTGAGGAGCATCTTCACCCACAGAAGACCACTTTTGAAAAAACCTTTATTAGCTAAAATGTCAAACTACAACATTAACGAAAAAAAAACTGAGGAGTTTATTAAGTTACAATTATCCTTCAAATGACACATAACCCCCGCCCCCCCCCATGACCTAAATCCTCCATGTTCTGCCGCTGCAGAGATCCGATTTATTTATGGATTCTGTGAAACGATTCGATTCCTTATCGATTCTGTTTAATGAAAAAGCATTACTGTACATTTTTGGGAAATAAACTGATCTCCCTCTGATTTAAATAAACGAGCGCCACCTTTCTCTGGCTCCCTGAACTTCGTAGCGTGTTTAATAATCCCAAAGATTTCCACAAATGGCTTCTGATTTACTAGGAACCACATTAAGCTCAGCCAGTGACAGAAAACTAGCTACTATCCATCAGAGTTTCCTTCCATGCTGGTCGTAACTTTAGCTTCTGTCCGGAAACATCAAAAACACGGCATTCGTTAAAATCTATGCCATGTAGTGTGCGCAGGTGTTTCTACATGTCGAATGTATTTCCTCCCGCAGATGTTATTGCCACTTTCCAAACTCTCGATCGCTTTATGATGAGATGAGACGCAGTTTTTTTTTGTTTTGCTTTTCTAGGCTCACGCCTGGTCACGTCGTACTTGATTACTGAATGCCGTGTGCGTAGCTTGCATATAAAACGTGACATACACTATATTGCCAAAAGTATTTGCTCACCTGCCTTGACTCACATATGAGCTTAAGTGACATCCCGTTCCTAATCCATAGGGTTCAATATGACGTCGGTCCACCCTTTGCAGCTAGAACAGCTTCAACTCTTCTGGGAAGGCTGTCCACAAGGTTTAGGAGTGTGTTTATGGGAATTTTTGACCATTCTTCCAGAAGCGCATTTGTGAGGTCGCACACTGATGTTGGACGAGAAGGCCTGGCTCTCAGTCTCCGCTCTAATTCATCCCAAAGGTGTTCTATCGGGTTGAGGTCAGGACTCTGTGCAGGCCAGTCAAGTTCATCCACACCAGACTCTGTCATCCATGTCTTTATGGACCTTGCTTTGTGCACTGGTGCACAGTCATGTTGGAAGAGGAAGGGGCCAGCTCCAAACTGTTCCCACAAAGTTGGGAGCATGGAATTGTCCAAAATGTCTTGGTATGCTGAAGCATTCAGAGTTCCTTTCACTGGAACTAAGGGGCCAAGCCCAGCTCCTGAAAAACAACCCCACACCATAATCCCCCCTCCACCAAACTTTACACTTGGCACAATGCAGTCAGACAAGTACCGTTCTCCTGGCAACCGCCAAACCCAGACCCGTCCATCAGATTGCCAGATGGAGAAGCGCGATTCGTCACTCCAGAGAACGCGTCTCCACTGCTCTAGAGTCCAGTGGCGGCGTGCTTTACACCACCGCATCCGACGCTTTGCATTGCACTTGGTGATGTATGGCTTGGATGCAGCTGCTCGACCATGGAAACCCATTCCATGAAGCTCTCTGCGCACTGTTCTTGAGCTAATCTGAAGGCCACATGAAGTTTGGAGGTCTGTAGTGATTGACTCTGCAGAAAGTTGGCGACCTCTTCGCACTATGCGCGTCAGCATCCGCTGACCCCGCTCCGTCAGTTTACGTGGCCTACCACTTCGTGGCTGAGTTGCTGTCGTTCCCAAACACTTCCATTTTCTTATAATACAGCTGACAGTTGACTGTGGAATATTTAGGAGCGAGGAAATTTCACGACTGGATTTGTTGCACAGGTGGCATCCTATCACAGTTCCACGCTGGAATTCACTGAGCTCCTGAGAGCGACCCATTCTTTCACAAATGTTTGTAAAAACAGTCTGCATGCCTAGGTGCTTGAATTTATACACCTGTGGCCATGGAAGTGATTGGAACACCTGATTCCAATAATTTGGATGGGTGAGCAAATACTTTTGGCAATATAGTGTAATTCGTGCTGCCGGCTCTGGTGCTGCCTGGATAAGATTAGAGAATCGTTTAGCGAGCTGCTAAACGGTGCCATGGAACCTGAACACACGGAACCGGATCTGAACAGGAACTGGTTTTCGGTTCCCATCCCTACATGAAAGTATGACTGAAAACTCTAAAAGAAAACTAAAACAGAACCAAAAAGCCCAGAAAGGACAGAATCATGACATAAAGAAAGGGATTTTTTTTTTCAAAATGGTGCCAAGAAGACTAAAATCATTTAAAGGCTAAAAAAGCTCTTTAGTCTGATGCAGTTGATAAAAAACGACCACAGAAAGGACACTCCTTTAAAAATAGCTCAATTAAACAGATAAAAGTTTGTGGCGAAGTTTGTTGATTTATATAAACATGATGCTAATCTCTGAGGATTAAACACAACCTTGACAGATTTATGCAGCATCTGGAGGTTTCCCATGCTCCTCTGCACCGTAGAGCGGACGAGGGCCATGCAGTCCTCTCCTGCTGCAGATGCCTAGATACTGCAGTTATAATGGACCAGAACCATCAACGATCCGGGTTAATTTGACCCATCTGGCAGCATCCGCCCTAACCGACCGTCTCTTTTTAATTCTTACCTTTTTAAGGCCTTGTTTTTATTTCTTGCTTCTTTCCAGGATGTTCTTCTCTCCTCCGTGTTGATTGGTTGACAGACAGAGTAAAGGGAGCATCAGCCCTCGGCAATGAAGAAGCTGTGCTGTCTTCATTGGTGCTGAAGAGGCAGGAGGAGGCGGACGATGGCCGCCGGTGATGCAGCAGGCGGGAACGGCCAGGAGACAGACAGACCATCAATCTGCCTGAACGTTAGAGCAATGACCCAAACACTGCAGACGTGCAGGTCATGGTGTTCGTCGTAGGACTGAAACTCCTAGAAAATTTAGTTGAAAATAGTTCAAATGAGGTTTTAATCCGACTGCGTCATTATGGAAGGAAAATCTACAGAGACGTTCTGGCTGATTTTCGCTTTGATGCTTAAATTTCCAGCAGGTTTTCCTTCTGCGTAAATGGCTGTCTTTATGTGCTTTTCTTGTGCTGAGGTGTTTTTTGATATCTCAAACTGTATCCTGTGAAGGATAAAGAGAGAAATATGTTTTTTTCCCTCTCCCTCCCCAATGTGGCTCCTATCCTTCCACAGAGGAAAAAGGCAGCGCCCTAAAGGAACCGGCACATGGTGGGGCCCCTGGAGAAGGAGCCAAACGGCAGAGATCTTTGGCGCACATTGTGCTGCTTTCAGGATGCTCTGAAATGGAGGAATGGGTTCATTTGGGTGAGAAGAGCAGAGCAGAGATTCAAATATAAAATAGATGATGGTAATCCACTGGAATCACAGAGAGTAAAGAAAGAGGTGATCATCTTTGATTTTAAAACATGAGGTCGAAGGCAACACATTTCCTTTCTAACAGATCTTTGAACAATCAGGCAACGTCCATCCACAGGGAGGCTGATTAGCATCCCAGAGTTCCCAGTGATCCCAGAGTTCCCAGAAATCCCAGAGTTCCCTGTGATCCCAGAGTTCCTGGCGATCCCAAAGTTCCCTGTGATCCCAGAGATGCCAGAGTTCCCAGAGATCCCAGAGTTCCCTGTGATCCCAGAGATCCCAGCAATCCCAGAGTTCCCAATGATCCAACAGATGCCAGAGTTCCCAGGGTTCCCAGCGATCCCAGAGTTCCCAATGATCCCAGAGATGCCAGAGTTCCCAGCGATCCCAGAGTTCCCAATGATCCAACAGATGCCAGAGTTCCCAGGGTTCCGAGCGATCCCAGAGTTCCCAATGATCCCAGAGATGCCAGAGATCCCAGAGTTCTCAGGGTTCCCAGTGATCCCAGAGTTCCCATTGATCCCAGAGTTTCCAGGGTTACCAGCGATCCCAGAGTTCCCAATGATCCAACAGATGCCAGAGTTCCCAGAGATCCCAGCAATCCCAGAGTTCCCAATGATCCAACAGATGCCAGAGTTCCCAGGGTTCCCAGCGATCCCAGAGTTCCCAATGATCCCAGAGATGCCAGAGTTCCCAGCGATCCCAGAGTTCCCAATGATCCAACAGATGCCAGAGTTCCCAGGGTTCCGAGCGATCCCAGAGTTCCCAATGATCCCAGAGATCCCAGAGTTCTCAGGGTTCCCAGTGATCCCAGAGTTCCCATTGATCCCAGAGTTTCCAGGGTTACCAGCGATCCCAGAGTTCCCAATGATCCAACAGATGCCAGAGTTCCCAGAGATCCCAGAGTTCTCAGGGTTCCCAGTGATCCCAGAGTTCCCATTGATCCCAGAGTTTCCAGGGTTACCAGCGATCCCAGAGTTCCCAATGATCCAACAGATGCCAGAGTTCCCAGGGTTCCGAGCGATCCCAGAGTTCCCAATGATCCCAGAGATGCCAGAGATCCCAGAGTTCTCAGGGTTCCCAGTGATCCCAGAGTTCCCATTGATCCCAGAGTTTCCAGGGTTACCAGCGATCCCAGAGTTCCCAATGATCCAACAGATGCCAGAGTTCCCAGAGATCCCAGAGTTCTCAGGGTTCCCAGTGATCCCAGAGTTCCCATTGATCCCAGAGTTTCCAGGGTTCCCAGCGATCCCAGAGTTCCCATTGATCCCAGAGTTTCCAGGGTTCCCAGTGATCCCAGAGTTCCCATTGATCCCAGAGTTTCCAGGGTTCCCAGCGATCCCAGAGTTCCCAATGATCCAACAGATGCCAGGGTTCCCAGCGATCCCAGAGTTCCCAATGATCCCAGAGATGCCAGAGTTCCCAGCGATCCCAGAGTTCCCAATGATCCAACAGATGCCAGAGTTCCCAGGGTTCCCAGCGATCCCAGAGTTCCCAATGATCCCAGAGATCCCAGAGTTCTCAGGGTTCCCAGTGATCCCAGAGTTCCCATTGATCCCAGAGTTTCCAGGGTTCCCAGCGATCCCAGAGTTCCCAATGATCCAACAGATGCCAGAGTTCCCAGAGATCCCAGAGATCTCAGGGTTCCCAGTAATCCCAGAGTTCCCATTGATCCCAGAGTTTCCAGGGTTCCCAGTGATCCCAGAGTTCCCAATGATCCAACAGATGCCAAATTTCACAGGGTTCCCAGTGATCCCAGAGTTCCCAATGATCCGAGAGATGCCAGAGTTCCCAGAGATCCCAAAGTTCCCAGGGTTCCCAGTGATCCCAGAGATCCCAGAGTTCCCATTTATGCCAGAGTTTCCAGGGTTCCCAGTGATCCCAGAGTTCCCAATGATCCCAGAGATCCCAGCGATCCCAGAGTTCCCAATGATCCCAGAGATCCCAGCGATCCCAGAGTTCCCAATGATCCCAGAGATCCCAGCGATCCCAGAGTTCCCAATGATCCCAGAGATCCCAGCGATCCCAGAGTTCCCAATGATCTAACAGATGCCAGAGTTCCCAGGGTTTCCAGTGATCCCAGAGTTCAAAATGATCCGAGAGATGCCAGAGTTCCCAGAGATCCCAAAGTTCCCAGGGTTCCCAGTGATCCCATTTATCCCAGAGTTCCCATTTATCCCAGAGTTCCCAGTGATCCCAGAGATCCCAGGTCATAGGGCAGAATGCAGGTGATGGTCCTGGGAACTGATTAACAGTGAGAAGGCGTCTGCGGAACATTCGCTCACCTGCTCTGATTCTGAGCTAGCTAGCAGCTATGTCTGCTAAGGCTAATGCTAATCTGTGGTTAGCCAAACCTTTAATGTCCAGGAAGGCAGAAACTTCCTTCAGTTGGTTTCATCGCTCATCAGCCGGACTGATGGTCATCATCATGTTGCTCCGTTTTGTTTGTTGTTTAATCTGATATTTTTTAAATCTCTTTTTTTCTGATAAATGTAACGCTGATGAGAAGAAGAAGCTATATTTCAGCTCCATCTCAGAGCTACTAGCATCTGGAAACATCTGGGCTCTGTCTTACCTGACCTACTGTTCCTATTGGTGGGGTGGTGGTCGGCATGGTAACCAGAAGTAAACATTTATGTTAGCAGCCTCTCAGTATCAGCGCATTAGCAGAGCTCTGCAGCAGATAGATTCTATTTAAACTAGATCTACCAGGATGATACCAGTTTGGAGCCTTCAGGTAATCTTTTATTCTCTCTAGATTTTCTGTGAATGATTTATAGTTGACGTATTTATTGTTGTGATGAGAAAATAGTAGCGATGACCTTTAACCTTTTATCCCCTTGGTTGAGTCGAAGGTTCAGTTGGTTTCAGACAGAAACCTGATTCTTCCCATCAGTCTGTGCAGCTTCCCTCCTCTCGCTGAAGAAGAGCTCTTCATGATGCTGCCACCCCCGTGCTTCACCATTGGATGGATACTCTGTAGTTTTAGACTTTTTTTTTACAACACATGGAGGCTGTAAAGGTTTGATCTGATCTGAGTTTCTTTCCACACTGAGCTGTAGCGAATGTTCCTGCTGTTTCCTGCAGGTCGATGAGGAACAGAAACATGTGAGGGAAACTGTGCGCTTCAGATGGGATCTACTGCCCCTCAGCCTTCCCTCTGATTGCTCTGGCTAATATTAGGATGCGCGCCCACGCAGGCTGTCAGCGTCTCCGGATGAAGCACACAGGCCTGCGATGAATTACGCCATTAAAGGAGCAGTGAAGCTCCCAGACTGAACTTCTCTGCTTTGAGGTTTTAGATGAAGGACAGCTGGTCGATGATGTCAGCGCTCCGTCCTTTCCTTTCTCGCTCCTCTCCACTCGGCCGCTGACTGAGAAAGAATATTTTAGTACAAAGATTGATGTTTAATAAGGAATTAAAGGAGACCAGCCAAGGAAAGTGGGGAAATTTTGAGTGACTATTGCTGTAAAAGTACTTATTTTCTAACATCAGAACATTTCTGTCTAATTTTTTGAGTAATTGTAAAGAAGCAGTAACTTTCAGAATCCTCCCAAGGTATTGATGCGTAGAACCACCTGCTATAGATCATACACCACCTGCAGCATAAAAATGGCTAAACAATAAGGACTGATATTATGATTATTATTTCTTTTTAGAAAACAATCCAAAAAGAAAGCAGGAGAGTCTTCATTCTTCTCACACTTTGACCGAGGATTAGTGCAACTAAAGGCCTAGCTCTGCTTTTAGACTCATCCTACTGAACAACTTGGCCTCATGGCAACAACTAAAGCCGTAATAAATTAATAAACTACTCATAATATCTGCTCTGAGTTTGTCTCATCAGTGGAACATCATTAAATCTGTAGATCAGTGGCGTCCAGATTCAGTCCATAGGGCTGCTATCCGCCATGATGGATGCTGAGCTAGAAGGAAGAAGGAAATGACAGCTTCCTGGAAACGGAGGGAAAGTTTTGTCCTTCGTTTCACAGAGCAGCTCTTAGACGCCTGTTGGCCATGAAACTCTTTCCATGAAGCTCTCTATGGTGGGAGGTCTGACTCTGCAGAACCTCCCGCCTCCTCATCATTTACTGACTCCGCCCCTGCTGGAGGAGCTGCTGCCCCCTGCTGCTTCCACTGTGTCATAACGACATTAACAGGCGGCGCTGGAGCAGAGGTCAGGAACCTGACCATGTCTGGACGTCAGCGGGCGCCTCAGAAGCAGCCGGTCCTGCAGAAGGTCCAGCTGAGCAGCAGGGCGGGGAATCTTTCATTTATCAGTTTTATCTGTGGAGTTCACTGCATTCAGAGCCGCTGCAGATGCGTCCTGCTGCTCTTCAGCGGCATGGTTACATAACGCTGCAGCATATTGTGAAGGAAGTTGAATGTGATCCAGACCCCAAGAAGATGACTTTTATGAAGGAAATGACAGATATGATTGCTGAGTTTGCGACTTGTTTTGTAGCTTTGCTGCAGCTCAGTCTGTCACTGAATTGATTTTCTTCCAGAACAAACTGTCTTCCAGTCCAGCCTCGTTCCTCGCTAATAGATCTGAGCATCCAGAAAGCAGCGGTAGAGAAATGCTTCGGTCCACCATCCTTCAAGCATTTAAAGGCCGTCACTAGAACGGCCTCAGATTTACTGGAGGAGTTGGAGCCGCAGTGGGAAGCAGAGGCAAGGAGGAGGGGGCCAGAGGCTCTGAGGTCACCTTCACCTTGAAGAAGGCTCTGCAGACCCCCAGCCCCCCCATCACATTTATGCACGTCTCCATCTTTAATAGCTCTGATGAATCAGTCAGCTGCAGACCGTCTGCTGTGTCCCTGGTGCCCAGAGGCAAGCAGACGAGCACAGATGGAGACCCGCGGCCGCAGCATCCTTCAACACGCCTGGAGCCCCTTACGTAAATAACTTCTGTCATTTCATTACCTGAAAGCTTCACACCAGCAGAGGACCTGGATGCTGCTTTACTCCTGCTCATTTGTTTTTCTACCTTATTTTAAAGGCCATAACTGTTTCATCTTTACGATTTGTTTTTACAAACTAATACAGCAACAGAACATTTAGAGCGGCACAGAATAAAACAGCTAATTTCACAGGAAAAAAACAGTACATAAATAATAGTTATATGATATTTGCAGCCAGGAAATGGTTTTGTTTCGCTGTAACATCAAAGCCAAAAGCAGAACAGAGAAACATTGAGTGCTGGTGAAGATTTTACCAAAACAGTCCTTCTGAAATGTCTTTGAAGTCTTAGGGAAATCATACTTAAATGTCAAATCATTCTGGCTTAAACATGTATATAAATGGACTGTTTATCAGACCATATTGTCCCAAAGTCAAAAAATATCTATTTAAAAAAAATCCTGTCTTAAAATCTGTGTTTTTTCCATTATCTTCTCTAGGCCAGTTAGTTCTACGTCAGCCTGAACACCTAAATTCGGCCAATCATATATCAACAGTCATCTGTCAATCAAATGTTTTCGGTCATAGCATCTTGATTCAGTTCAGTAGCTTTTATTTTTCCCAGTATGGGCAATTTTGTGCAGTGGTAGTACACCTTTCAGACACATGTTCACATTTCACAAATCACATATAAAAAATAAAAAAAGCACAAGAGACACATAAATATTTAAAAAGATAAAAGTAAGGTGGATAAAAGAGACAGAAATTTGAAAAATAATAAAAAGTAAATAAATATGTGCAAATGAGAGCATAGACCTGAATGCATGCAACATATGGCTGTCATATCTTGATTAATGTGTCGCAGCTAATATACGCAACGGCTGAAACCAGAATCCTTTCCTTTCCCATTGAGTTGCGTCCCAGTGTTCACGGGGATGGACGTCTGTGTCTTCGGCAGGCGTAGAGCTAACAGAACTGGCAGCGTTGCGAGGCAAGGGCTCAAACATGGACGGCTGGAAGCCTTCTACACCAAACCAAGCTTCTGCCGCCCTGGCGTCCTCTTCCACAACATCTTCGTCCCCGCTTTCCTCCTCTAAATAAAAAATGGATGACGGAGGAGACTCATCCACGACCTCCGACACTAAACTCTCCTCCTCTTGCATGTTTCCGCTGTCCATAGCGTTCCTTGACAGCGTCGTTTCTAAGTCACCAATTTAGTGCTACTTGGTCCCAATGGAATTTCCCATTGGGAACCTGCTAGCACTAAGATGCTAACTGGTTAGCAAGATGCTTCTGACAAACCGGCCACAACCTAACTTGCTTGCGAACCTTCCACCACAACAATCCCGCCCCCTTGATAAATGACCAATCACATTCACTTTATTCACCGTGTAAAGTCGGGCACCACTGGGAGGATTCCAAACTTCAACCATTGGAACGGCCATTTCCCTACGACTTTAAGTGTTGAATCGCTTTGGAAGAAGAATAAACCCAATAGAGCCGAAATGTTTGACCTGAGTGTTCACGTGGCTGTAGCATTAGCGACATTAGCAGTTAGCCATGGTTCATTAACAGTCGTTAATCTCTCTCATGGTGCATTCACATTCAAACCAATTGACAGTTTTGTGCTTTTGTTCACCCGATATTTCACCCGATATTCACCTTGGGAACAACTGCATGTGAAAGGCTTTACGCTAACATGGTGGACTGGATTTCATGGAGCGACTAGTGGTACTTCATTCCTGAGTCCTGCAGAGATGCTCCTTTTTCAGGTAGTTCAGGAGCTACAGCTGGACCCCGGTCCCCTTCAGTGCAGCGTGATGCTACATTCAGATCGCAAGAAGTAGGAGCAGTAAAAACATGCATGCTGCTTCATTATTGATGCTTGTACCAGTTTAGTTCTGAGGCGCAGCTGAAGCATCTTTGTTGCTCTACCTGTGTGGTGGAAAAGTGGGTCTGATGTGTAGTGGGCGGAGCTACCCGATCCTTCCTTTGCCTGGAACAATGGCAGCTATATTAGCTGTGATCAGCGGGTAGAAAGTAGTTAGAATCTATGTTGAAGTGAGAAAGTCCTCCTGAAAACATGGTCTGTGCAGTCAGTTAAATATAAAAATAATAAGAAAAAAAACCATGAAGCTGAAGCTTTATTATTTCCAAATTGGCTCATATGATTATTGGGTTCTGGTAACTTATTTGGGTTTACAATGTATCAACTTACTCCTTAAATGTTGTTATGATGTTTGTGGTGAAGCCAGTTTCCCTTAAAGTTCTGTTTTCATACCACTGAACATCACATCTATTCATCTGCTCACTTCTGTCTTATACAGGAAAATAAATGAACTGGTATCTAAGTTTATCTGGCTGCTCTTCCTGCTCCTGGTCTGCAGGAACCGTTTCAGTTTATGATTCTATAGTACATTTAAACTCAGAGAAATATAAATAAATGTCTGAGTTTATGCCCATCAGAGCTGTATTTTAGACAGCCCACAGAAACCTCCTCTGCTCTAAACATTCAGTCTATGATCTGCATCCAGCAAATCAAGATGGTTTTCAGTTGTTTATATCAGCAACAAATTCAGTTTTAGTTTCAGCGACTGAAGAGTTTAACAAGGTAAGTGCTGTAGAGTCGGGGGTGGTGGGGGGTTGGGGTTATAGACTGTCCATAAAAACGTTTGCTGATCTCCAACACTCAGAAGTTTTGGTTTCCCTCT